ACGGTAGTGCTTCTTCAAATGAGCATTCCATGGAACCACTGTTCGTCAACAGTTTCTCTGTAATCAATTATGGAACCAATAATATAACAAATGAATCTCTTCTCTGTTTGGTTAAATGGTTAAACTTTTTTACAACGAAGCAATAAAGTATATCTTATTATTATTATTATTATAACAGACGGATCCTAGAGTTTCCAATAGACAACATCCAAGAGCAGCTATACACAGACCAACGACCAACCCAGAATTAGGGCCGTTACCTGTAAGTAGCAATTACTGTAAGCGCACAGTCTCTTTATAGCACTATGTTACATGGCTATGTAGCCATCTCTCCAATGTGCTAGCACAGTGTCTACCTGGCGTTGTCAAACTCTAGCATCTTGCAATTCAGCCTATGGCAGGGGCCTTCCCACTCAGTCGATGGCACATGCTTCCTGGATTTTGGTTGAACCCTTTCTTTGGTGTTCAACCCAGGACCGACTATGCTATCAGCGACCACTGCGCTATCAGTGATCACTACGCTATCGGCGATCACTACGTGATCAGTGATCACTTCGATATCAGTGGTCACTTCGATATCAGTGATCATTACGCTATTAGCGATCACTATGCCATCAGTGATCACTACGCTATCGGCGATCACTACGCTATCGGCGATCACTACACGGTCAGTGATCACTTCGATATCAGTGATCACTACATTGTCATGTCATGGTACTGTTACCTTGTCATGTTTATATTGTTGTATTCTTACTTGCAGGCTGGCTGGGAAGAAAGAGTACATGCTGATGGGAGAATATTTTACATTGATCACAGTAAGTGGCATAACAAACAGGGTTATGTAAGAGTACACATGTCAGGTGGCAAATCATAATATCACATCAACAAAGTTGACGTAGTGGAACTGTTCTTATTACTGTTTGTCCATCCTGGGTCCATTAGCTTTTACTTCTTTGATTACTTCTTCGAAACTGTATGTCATATTTACAGGCATGTCATTGACATCTTTCTTAAACGTGCAACACAGTTTGTCATAGTTTTTCAAATATAGTTGGTCCCAGATTAACAAAAACATTACGTTATATTACCTGTTAATATTAATAAATGTAATTTATTGCTTTTTTTTAACCATTTAGACAGAAGAACAACCCAGTGGGAAGATCCTCGGTTACAGAATCCAAAGATAGCTGGTCCTGTGAGTTGTTTGTTATAATTTCTCTCTTCTTTTGAAAAAGAAAACTCCTCACCATCTCATTTCCTTATCTTAATCATATGAAAAGTGAATTTTTTTCCTGACTTCTTGTCCCAAGGAAAATTGACGTGGCTTAAAATTAGTTTTAGTATTGAAATTATTATATACCACAACAAAAAGTTACATGTTCAACATTAAAGATTAATTTGAATGGACAAAACATCCACTGAAACGGAAAATAAACATTTTCTCAATCTACTGTTCATTTTGTACTTCACTGATATGCAAAAGTGACAAAATTAGATCAGGTTTTAAACTGATGCATGCGATGATGAGAAACAAAAATATTTGGGGGAGGACCTTGTGATTTATTTTAGGAATTCTACTTAAAACCTAGTCATGTTTATGATGGAAATTCAAGTTATAGGATTACTATCATTGCTTGGTTAGTTTCAGACAACTTCACCAAATTTTGTATCATGCTGTCAATGTTACTATTGTCCATGTTTTTTCTGTTTTTTTTTACAGGCGGTGCCATATTCAAGGGATTACAAAAGAAAATATGAATATTTCCGATCAAGACTTCGTGCCCCAGTAAGTCACTCAATAGTTCTGAACCTGTGTTTATTCACTTCAGATATTCGGGATGACTAAATCAGGTTTATCTGACTGCTTCTGATTTACCAGATACAAATATATGTATTGATATGAACGGATTGATCTGATGGACATTAACACATTTGAATTTTAAAACATCTGATCAATCATCAGATTTTGACACACGGTCTGATTAATCTGGCACTAAAGTTCAATTATATTTGTTTAATCCGACATCAGACTTAGCTGAAAATTTAAAACAGATTTATATAATCAGATAAAATAGCCTTAAGTTTTATCTTTCTCCCAGACTGGCGTGCCAAATAGATTTGAATTAAAGGTTTCCAGGAATAACTTATTGGAGGATTCATATAGAGGAATCATGGCTGTGAAAAATGCAGATATATTAAAAGCTAGGTTATGGATTGAATTTAGTGGAGAAACAGGACTTGACTACGGTGGTGTTGCTCGGTATGTATCTGATAGTTTTATATTAGAATTCAATCCTTCATTATGTGAGTCTATTATTAACATTCACCAGCTTGGTTTGTGCAAAAATTTATGTTTCAAATCAATCTAAAAATTCAAATTTTGTATTGTGAGTCACTCTAATCAAATAATATAATTCAGATCAAATAGGAAAAACATCACTGTCTTATGTGTGGAAAGCCTCTGTCTGCATATGTTCTTACAGTCTCTTGGGGGTAGTTATATGCTAATGACCTCATGGCCAGACGATTATTCAAATGTTTGCGTTTTGACCTTATCACTGATGTTAATACCGGTAGGTGCACATCATAACTTTTTGTTTTTGACAAATTGAAAAATTGAAACAGCGCCCCCAGAAGCAGATTTTGATTTATAAATACTTTGGCTTTCACAGAGGGCGCTATTTACTGAAATTCTACATGGTTGTCTTATGTATCTTATCATCTGTTGCAGGGAGTTTTTTTATTTACTTTCACATGAGATGTTTAATCCTTACTATGGTCTGTTTGAGTATTCTGCAACGTAAGTAATTTTTATTTCGTCATAAATACAATTGTATTACCAACTATCAGCACAAAATATCCAAATTCAAATTCTGTGCTTACAAATCTGTAAATAATATTGTAATTCTTAAAATTCTGTAAACTATGAAAATTTTTGTCCATTTGACTCAAAATTAACAATGAAATTATGGAAAAGTTTATAAAAATGTGCAAAAAGTTGCACCAACATTGTGGTGAGAAAATGATGGTGTTCACAGGGGTATGCACTAATAATAATTGCATTGATGGTTTATGTGCTTAGAGTTTTATTACTAAAGTTTTTATTTGACAGGGACAACTATACTTTACAAATAAACCCCAATTCCGGCCTCTGTAACGAAGACCATTTATCTTATTTCAAGTTTGTTGGTAGAGTAGCTGCAATGGCGGTCTATCATGGTAAATTATTAGATGGTAAGTCAGTCACTATATATGAATTGTTTTGTTAGCTACACTGTCACAAAAAAGACTGAGTAAATCTAGTTGTCTAAGAGTTTGTCGATTTTTTGACGAAGACTACGGTATATTTTTTTGTTCAACAATGCTAGACAAATGAACCTAAATAATTTGAATTTGTTTGTTTTTTCAGGCTTTTTTATTCGTCCTTTTTACAAAATGATGATTTCCAAGAACATAACTCTTAACGATATGGAGTCAGTGGTAGGTGATTGAACTGTTCCTTTTGTTATTATTTTTCTTTTTCTTTTTGTTCACCATGTCTTGATGATCACACGAATGGGCAATAAGAAACATTTTGGTTTCATGCAGAAAAATTCATCTGGATTGTTTGTTATGAAGTATACGATTTGTTTGTTATAAAGTATACGATTTGTTTGTTATAAAGTATACGATTTGTTTGTTATGAAGTATACGATTTGTTTGTTATGAAGTATACGATTTGTTTGTTATGAAGTATACGATTTGTTTGTTATAAAGTATACGATTTGTTTGTTATGAAGTATACGATTTGTTTGTTATAAAGTATACGATTTGTTTGTTTTGAAGTATACAATTTGTTTGTTATGAAGTATACAATTTGTTTGTTATAAAGTATACAATTTGTTTGTTATAAAGTATACGATTTGTTTGTTATGAAGTATACGATTTGTTTGTTATAAAGTATACGATTTGTTTGTTATGAAGTATACGATTTGTTTGTTATGAAGTATACGATTTGTTTGTTATAAAGTATACGATTTGTTTGTTATAAAGTATACGATTTGTTTGTTATGAAGTATATGATTTGTTTGTTATGAAGTATACGATTTGTTTGTTATAAAGTATACGATTTGTTTGTTATAAAGTATACGATTTGTTTGTTATGAAGTATACGATTTGTTTGTTATAAAGTATACAATTTGTTTGTTATGAAGTATACGATTTGTTTGTTATAAAGTATACGATTTGTTTGTTATGAAGTATACGATTTGTTTGTTATGAAGTATGCGATTTGTTTGTTATGAAGTATATACGATTTGTTTGTTTGTTAATTTGTTATTTTTTAACATTCCTCAGTGTGTTATTTTATTTATCAGCATTGTATTGCTAAGAACATGCCTATACCTAGTAAATGTTAAGTCAAAACGAAGATATTTACAAGATTGTGTCTGATTGGCTACCCAATTCCAAAATCTAACAGTCAGATCAATCAGAGAGCAGCTTACATGTTGACAAGTTTTTTTGATGTAACAAATTCTGCCTTGTATGCTTTGACTCAACTGACCTCAGGTTTATCAATGTTTAATTTAAATACTCATTCAGGAATACAGCTAGTAAAAGCATTCAAATTCTTCATTACATTTTGTTGACTACATTTCTTTGGAATGAAATATTTTGGTGTGTTGGAGACTCAAAACATTTCACTCAATGCCGATTTGCATTAGTTCACAGCACAAATATGTTAGTGTGACTGTAAACTAAAAAAATATGGCCACTAACTTAAAAAAATGGTAGGATATCAGACCTTTAGTGCTCATAAGTTCCTTTAGAGAGAAGAAAAAAATTTGCTAGGTCACTGGGCATATACTAATATATTGCCTTCCTAACTAATATATAATATGGTCTTATATGAAAATCATATTTTTATTTTCGTAGGATTCTGAGTATTATAATTCCTTGAATTGGATTATGGAAAATGATCCAGAGGATTTGGATTTGACATTCTGTGTAGATGAAGAACTTTATGGTCAGGTGAGAAAATTCAATTTTCTGTAACAGTGTTTATAGTATTTATGAATAATCA